CCCCCCCCCCCCCCCCCACCCTGAGATCAGCTGGCAGTCCATTGAGCTAGCTGAACTGCTCTTTTACAGACCAAATGATTCTCGTATGCTGGTTGCTCTAGGAGAATGCTATGAGAAACTCAATCAGTTGGTGGAAGCTAAGAAGGTGAGAACTGATGTGTTAGGGTCTCTCCCAGAACACTGGGTGGAATTGCACAAAAATATGTAGCTAATGCTACCTAAACTCGTTGGCAGTTACAGTTGGGGAAGTACTGCTGCAATGTAACTAGAGCAGCTGATAAGTAAGGAGTCGTCTACAGATACGTGCCTCTTTTGCTGACAAACACTGTAGTTTTTTGTTTCTGACTTGCATGCTGGAGTCATGAGCTGGGGTAGTTTTTGTGGCATGCTTGACTGACTTTTCTTCCTTGACAGTGCTATTGGAGAGCCTATGCTGTGGGAGATGTGGAGAAAATGGCACTTGTGAAACTTGCCAAGTGAGTATGTACCTTCACTGAACTGTCAGGGTTGTGTTAAATGCAAGTTGCACTTTGATACCTAATGATAACATACAGAACATAAACAAGTGGAATTGCTGTTAGGTAGTATTACTTTTTGAGCTATGTGAGAATTGGTATCTTTAGGGCTATAGTGACTGCAAATTTTGGCATCCAGCATTATCTTTGTTTCTGTCAGGATAACTAGAGATTGATAGCATAATGTGGGTTGCAAAGGACTTCTGAGGTGATTCCTGATTTGAGCAGGCAGTGCTAGCAATTGTATTTATTGTATTACAACTTAAAAGCAGCCCATGACAGTAGATGATGTACAAAATTGTAGTTTGATTTTATTTTTCCTCTCTAGTATATGGCTGTGACATTGGAAAAGGTCTAATGTGAATACTGTGACATCAGCACTAATTTTTTTGGTGGGGATAAAGTAATACAAAGTGGGAAAAGCAAAGGGGAAAAAAAGGGCAAGTGAAAAGTGAAACTGCTGTACAGATTTGGGCTGTAGCAGGGGAAGAAGGAGCACCGGAGGAAATAGTGAGTAAGTAGAATGGCAAAGGTCTGTTAAAAAGTTTAAAATGCAGCAGAATAAACAAAGGCCCCTGCTTCGGTTGTCACTGCTTCTAGCTGTCTAGTCACTATCTGACTACCTCCTTGTCAGCATGAATGCAAGCTGGATCATCTCCTTCCACAAGGGGCAGTACATGTTGCGTGTCCTGCAAATTCGGAAGGAAAAGGACCTGGCATTAGTCCAGGTCAGGGTGAGCAGGTATTTTCTCATAGACCAAGAAGGTCTTCAACAGTGCAGTCTTGTTCCAGTGACCCACTTTTCTCCTTTTCTAGGTTGCATGAACAGCTGAATGAATCTGAACAGGCAGCTCAGTGTTACATCAAATACATCCAGGATATCTATTCCTGTGGGGTAAGATGATATCTTGAGAACAAAAAAAGTGAACATGGTGTAGAACTACTTTGGAAGGCACTTACAGATTTTTTTTACCCCACTCACTGTAGGAGGTAGTGGAGCACCTGGAGGTCAGCACTGCATTTCGTTACCTCGCCCAGTACTACTTCAAATGTAAACTTTGGGATGAAGCCTCAGCATGTGCTCAGAAATGCTGTGCCTTCAATGATGTGAGTACCTGTGCGGTCTTTGGTGCTTCTTTCTTAGGGGATCTGTGACCTTGATCTTGGCTCCCCTCAGAGCAGAAGGAATCTTTTATGAAGGAATGAGGGCTGTCTGCCATACAGATCACATCCTGAATGGTGGTTGTCTTGTGTACCTGATTAGTCATGCTGAGTATGGTTGATAAGTCATGGAATGTGGTGTAGATAGTGAAATTGAACCATATCTCATTGGTACTCATTAAGTAAAATAATTTGAAGCTTCATATGGTAGTCTTAAGGCTGCTAAAAATTTTGGTGGTGAGGAGGTAGTTGAATGGTCACTCCCACACACTGTATAGTGGTGGTACTTCAGAAACTTCTTTTTTCTCATCTTCAATGTGTAGACAATGCAGAGAATATAATAGTACTTGAGTTTAGCGTGCAGCTCCTTACTCTGCGATGTTACGTATCTGTAAGTGGGCTGTTCGGGATTTTTAATTTCAACCTAGTGGTTGACACTAACCATGAGTGCACGGCGTTTGGCCTATCCTTGACAAAGCTGCCTGGAGCTCTCTACAACCTGAATTCACCTTATTCAAAGTTTTCCCAATCTACTTTTGCTGGAATATTTAGAGAGCTTTGGTGGTTGATGGTTCTGTTCTCTGAAACACCCAAGAAACATACCAATCAAAAGGAGGAAAGACTGAAACCGAGAAAGTAACTTACCTTAACATTTTTAATGAGCAGAAGAAAAAAAGAATTGAGAATGGATTTTATAGCTTGTAGCCTTACAGAATGACAAATGACTTTAAATTACACTGCTTACATACAGAATTTGACTCAGAAACCATCCATTCATAGGCATATTGTTCTGTTTTCTACAAATTAATTTCAGACTAGAGAAGAAGGAAAGGCCCTGCTGCGCCAGATCTTACAGCTTCGCAACCAAGGAGAAACATCATCCACAGATGTTGCTGCTCCCTTTTTCCTTCCTGCATCCTTGTCAGCCAACAACACTCCCACACGTCGTGTCTCCCCTCTCAATTTGTCTTCTGTTACACCATGAGCAATTCTGATACTTCTAACTTGTGCATTGGATGTGACACTGCAGATGGGGCATGCAATCATTTACTTCTTTCTAGGGAAATTCCTCCTTTTGTTGTTGCCCTCACGTGAAAGGTAGGAGAGTTCAGTTAGCAGAGTTCACAGGTGAAGACAGATGGGCCCCAACAGACAAAGGGAAGCCTGATGTGAAAGTGCCTGTGCTGCAATGTGAGAACCTGCTCTACTTCTCACCAAGTCGTTCCAGTCAGAGGGCAGACATGCCGCACTACACAGGACTACTCCTAAGTAAGTCACTGGGAAGAGCTTGTCTGCTTGATTTAAAATACATATTACGTTTGATTCTCCCAGGTTACCTCTGGTCTTTACTACACTTCTTTGGATGACCTCGTAGTGTTATCACTGCTGTCCTCACCAGAGACGGGTACCTACCTGTCTACTTAATGACTTTTTCTTGTCTTGAACTATGTAGGAAACGTTTCACTAAAGCAGTAGAAAAGGTACTTAGAGATAGGTCCCATGGGGATGGTAAAGGATTGGCAAATGTCAGAGGAATCCCAAGTAGCTGCAGGTGACAGCTGTCTTGAGTTTTCACTGTAGATCTGATGGATAGTTTTGGCTTTCAGTAGAAAAGGAGTTGGGATAGCACAATTTAAAAAATAATGGTGAAGTTACAGTCCTTGGACTTCTTTGTGGTGCAACTTCCACGTGTACTGTAGCAATGGAATCAAATGAACTATAGTGGATCATTTTGTTAAGGAGGCAAAAAGGTAATTATGCCTTTGTTTCAGAATTAGTGTCCTTGTTCACCCCTAAGTCTGTAGCCTGACTTTAAATCAAGGACAAAGCATTTTAAAAATCCTTTTCCATTTAGCCATAGCTTCCTGTGTTTCATGAGACAAATTATACAGGTGGGCACATCAGGAAACCTGCAGGTCACAGCCCTGGGCCCTCTCTGTACAGTGCATTTGCATCATGTGCACAGAGCAGAGGGAACCTATGTTCTTAGTTCTGGTTATCTCTAGAAATTACTGTCTTACATTCCATAGTATCCATTCAACAACCATTTCTCCTGCAGATGGTTTTAAATAGTAAAACTGGATCTTGATGTATTTTGCAAGAACTCTCCTAATTATCCCATGCAAACCTGAGGATATGAATGAGACCATTTGTAAAATTGTTGTCCCTAGGGGCAAATTGTGCTTGGCAAACTTGGTGGCCCTCTACGTGCTAATGGATAAGGGAATAGTGAGTCACGTCATATACCTGGGTTTGTGCGAAGCATTTGATACCGTTGCTTCCATACAGTGACCTTGTCTGTAAGCTGGAAAGACAGGGATTGGATAGGTAGAGCCCAGGGTGACGAAGGTTACGCTCCCAAATACCGTGGCCATTGACGTGCTGTCCAAATGGAGTCTAGTGATGAGGTGTGCCCCTCGGGAGTCGCAAGGCCTGGGGCGAGCTGCAGCTTGGGGCCACGGGGGCTCCGGACGCTTCGTGTCACCCCGGTCCTGGGGCCGCGGCCCTCCGCCCTCAGAGGCCGGCTTGGTCAGACCCCGCCGGCAAGGAGTCCTGAAGGAGCCGCGGGGACCGGGGCGCCGCGAGCACTCCTCGGCCGGCGCTGCCAGCGCCGCTGCGGCGGGGCGGGCGGGGCTGCCGCAGCCCCGGCCCGGCAGCGCAGCCTCGGCCGCGGGGCGGCGGCGGGGCGGGCGCGCCCTCAGCGGCGGCGCGCAGGAGGCGGCGGGGCCGGGGCGGGCGCTGGAGCCGCCGCGGCGGCAGGAAGATGGATGCGCCGCGCTCATCCCTCGCCGCTCGGCATCTTTTCCTGGCGGCACGGTGAGCGGCGGCGGCGGACGAGAGGGTCGCCCGGCGCCCGCGGCGGTAGAACAATGACCGGCTGGCTGCGGGGGGCCGGGGCGGCGGCGCGGCGGGGGAGAGGAAGCGATGGAGGTGATGGAGGGGAGCGCGAGCGGGCGCCGGCCCTGGTGATGGAGAGGAGATGGCGGGAGAGGTGTGGCAGGGGCAGCCCGCAGCCGCCTCGGCCTCCCGCCGGCCGCGCACCATTGCATGCCCGCCGGTCATTGTCCGCCCGATGCGGGCGCGGCGCGCTGGGTGCGGCGGCTGCTGCAGGGAAGGGAAGGGATGCGCCGGGGCTGGGGGCGATCGGCGGAGCCCGGGCTGGGCCTCGGCGCCGCGGGGGAGCCCGGGCTGGGCCTCGGCGCCGCGGGGGAGCCCGAGCTGAGCGAGGCCAGTGCGGCCCTGCAGGCGCTTCACTGCGCTCCCTTCCACTCGAGGTGCATCTTGTGTCCCCTCCCGCGGCGGTACGCAAAGCTTCCTGCCCAGCAGAACGTTCAGAATTGCACCTGTACATGTCACGGCTGGCGTGTCTATGTGTGAGAATACATTCTGTCTTGCACACACAGACCCCGCAGAATGCATCTTTGTACATGCAACGCATGCCTCTTTCACAGCCACTGATGGAGGAAACCTGCCTCTTGGACTGGTATGCAATTTATGCTTAAATTACCGGATTGACATCTCTCATTCATTTTGGCCACTTAGGAGAGATCTAGATCCTACATTTGAGCTACCTTATGGCACTGAATACTTATTTGTAACCGGTTTCTGTTTTTTGCTGTGAATACAAATATTTAAAAGATGCTGCTCATGCCTTCTACGTTGGGAACCTAGAAACTTACGTATTTTAAAATTTAATTTGACCTCTTGTAAGAAAAACAAAAACAGAGATGCTGTTTTAAAAAACATTTTCATTCTGGTGCTGTCCTGTACCTCACTGTAAGATGACATGTTGGACTCCCATTCTCAATGTCCCTGATTTGCTGGGTCGGATTCTGCCGTGATGCAGGTATGGTGCTTGGTCTAAGCATCAGGGTAGCCCATCAGGAGACTGTTTAGCTCCTTTTCAGGCAATAACGGGAGGTTTAATGTTTCTTCTCTACTCAGGTTTTGTTTCTATTGATCTGGCCTATTGCTCTGCATGGGAATTTCAAACCCAGGGCTTCTGTGCTGTAAATCTGCCTCTGCTGGTACTCAACCTTGCTCAGATAGGTACTTCAGTGAGATAAACACCTGGTGATCTTAAAAGATTTTCTAGGTATAAGTATGATTTTTGTGAAATATGGGAGTAGTGAGATGGTCATTGTTGAAGAGGGCACAAGACACAAGTATTCTGTAAGTAGTTCTCTGTCAATCAAAAGATGTCATGGGCACCTCCATAAAAGGAGGATATTGAACTATTGAGAGTATGTGCAGAGCAGGGTGACCAAGATGGGGAAAGGTCTTGAGGACAAGGCTCTAGAAGGGTCAGCTGAGTTAATTTGCTTTGTTCAGTTTGGAGATGAGAAGGCTGAGGGGTGACCCCATCACAGTCTGCAGCTTCCTCAAGGGGGTCAGCAGAGGAAGAGGTGCTGATCTCCTCTCTCTGGTGACCAGCAGTAGGACACAAGGAAATGGAATGAAGCTGCATCAGGAGAGGTTCAGACTGGACAGTAGGAAAAGCTGCTTCACTGAGAGGGTGGCTGGATACTGGAACAGACTTTCCAGGGAAGTGCTCAGGGCACTAAACCTGTCAGTTCTAGGACTATCTGAATGATGCTCTTAGCCATGTGGTTTAGTGTTAGGTGGTCCCGTGAGAAGCAGGAAGTTGGACTCAGTGGTTCTTACGGGTACCTTTGAACCTGAGATATTCTGTGATTCTAATCAAGTAGTGTGATTGGAACCTGTTCCACCCTTGCTTCCACAGGAAGCAAAATCCAAAGGAGAAGCCTCAGGGAGGAAAGGCTGGAAAGTTTTTGCTGGGGTTTCCATAGGAGTTACTCAGCGGAGGTGGCTGCCAGAAGCTGTTGATGGATTGTCTCTTTGGCTTTGTCCATTTCCCAGAGCTGTGGCAATTTGGTGGTCTGCTGGGACTCCCTGCTTGTCAGCAGAACTCCTAGCAGAAGGGAGTAGACTGTCAGTGACTGATACTGCAACCTTTCTGACTTCTGCTCTCTGACTGACTGTTTTGGTAGTGCCTAAGGTAGAGAAATGTGACTCTCACCTTGGAGATGATTTTGAGCCAGGTATTTCCAGTGTCCTCCCCAAGCCTAACTTCAAGCTCTGTGATACTGCTAATGCATTGACTCAGCCTCCCTTCTGAGAACCTTGCCCACTGTCATCTTTCAGTGGCTTCTGAAATCCTGCTGCTTTCAGAGGCCATTCCCAGCTAAATAATCTTCTGAATAAGAGCTTTGGTATCCTGTACATTAAGAATGGAATATAAGGTGGAATTTATGTACAGTTATGTATGGTTGTGTGTGGTTGTGTTTTAAGGAGGTGATTAGCTATTTTAATTCGTAAATATATGCTGGGTTCTGGTAGACATTTTACTATCAAGACTTCAATGTAGCTGAAAAGATACTGCATAAAGTTCTCTGTCATTACAAAGCGTAAGTGACCTCAGGGTATTCAAGTCAGGAAAATGCTGTGAAATGTAACCATAGAATGATGCCCAGAGTAATTTTCATTACTGTATTCATTCATTTAATAGTTGACAGTGTGGTTTAGAAAGTTACAAAAATAGTCCTTCAACTGTAACAAAGGTGTGGTGATGGAATCTACTGCTGTAAGGCTGGTATAATTCAGATGTAGCTTGAGCAGTTAAAATCCAAGTAGCTTGTTAATGATAACCTCTGGAGTTTTCCCGTCTTCTTTGTAACCACGCTGTGTGAGCCTGAAGATGCTTTCACTACTCAGTCATGGTAATTTTTAATATTGTAAATATTTTGCTTTCTATTGTCTTTGTGAAGTGGAAAGGCAGCAAAATAGTCCGTACCAGATGCCTGAATTTTGAATCACTTTCCAGTGATGTTGTATTTTCTAGGTCCATCAGATTTCTCTTTAATCTTTGTGCATGGCAATGCAATATTTGTATTACAAGACTGCAAACCAAATGTTTTTGTTTTAAAAACCAAATTTTAAAAATATTATTTACTGGAATTTATAATTACATGTTTGAATTATGTGTTTTGAAATCAATAGCTTAGTTAAATTCCAAGCAGGTAACATCTTCAAAGTTCCTTTATAAATTTATATCCCTTCAAGGTCTTTATCAGATTATAGCAAATCTATCCTCCCATCTACAAAGATGGTTTCTCTGCTGCCTTCTCTTTATAGGTCTGTGCAAAGCATCTGTGCGGTTCTATGTCATCAACCCTCAAAATCCAGAATCCATGAGGGTAGAAAAATGTAATTTTGGTAGTACTTCTAGTTTCTGTATCTTTAAGGTCTGTTTTAATTTCGCCTTTAAAATATGAGGCCTAGAAATCTTTGCTTCAGGAGGTAGGGCTCTAAATAGAAAATTCAACAGCATGCTGGAAGAACCATGAGAAAGCTCTATGGTGTGGCCACACTGAACGCTGTCAGGTCAATTAAGTGTAAATACAGCTTCTTTGGAAACGACAGAACAGTGTGGATCACAGTCTGCAGTTTGGACTCTGAAATATCCAGTGAACTTGAAAGGAAAAAAAAATAC